AGGTCATCTTTTATGGTCCTTAAGGGGAAGAAAAGACAAAGTTTGTATGGAAAAATAACATAGGAAATAACTTCAAAAAATATTTTTGTATTAATGGATCTACTTCACTTTATACATCTCTTATAATTACCTATCTCTTAGAATTTTATTTTAATATCTTCTTAATTGAATAATTATTCACCAAATCATATCTCATATAAAATCTTTTAAATGAAAGATCAAAATCAAGAACAAGTTATTCTTTAAAAGGGTTTAATAGACAATGTATCTCTAAAAGGGATTTACATCTACAAATATCAAGAAGAAGAAAAATATTTTCATTTTCTTTTTTTATTTTATCATTGCTCATATGATACTTGAAACTGTTAAATATATAACTCAAGATGTTAACTGATTTACTTTCAGTTTTCAGTTAAAACATTTACCTTTGTTGTAACACTGTATAAATACATTACTTCTGTTACATACATTTTTTATAAGAAAACACGTTATTGTTTTTCATTTCCTTTGCTGTTACAAATCCTCTATATCTCTATTGGTTTTTCTCTACATTCCTATCAGTGGTATCAGAGTCAGGTCGAGGTGAAAGACCTGTGGTGCTAGTTTAAAAAATCACTTGACACTGAGGTGTTTGGTCAGTGGTTGAAACGTTCAGAGAGACTGTCAAGACTTTGGTTCTTGAAGCAAGAAGGAAAGGGTGCATCATGGCTGAAATTCCTACAACAAATTTACCTGTTATCACAAACAAAAATTGGAACAGGTGGAGTACGCAGATGAGAGTCTTGTTTCAGTTTCAAGACGTCAATGATGTGATAGAGGGAATGGGATCTGTGACTGAGTCTGGAGGGTTAGAGGATCAGAAGGAGATGCTTAGGAAGAAAGATAATAAAGCTTTGTTCATAATCCATCAGTGCGTGGATGATGTGCATTTTGAGAAGATACAAAATGCTACTACGGCGAAAGAAGCTTGGACCATACTAGTACGCTGTCATGCTGGAGGAGAAAAGATAAAGAAGGTGAAGCTTCAGACGTTGAGGAGGTAATACGATCTTCTGCAAATGGAAGAAAGTGACAAGGTTAGTGATTACTTCAACAAAATTATATCCATTACTAATCAAATGAAGGGGTGCGGCGAATCCATGAGCGATCTCATGATAATCGAGAAGATTATGAGATCACTACAACGGTTTTTATATTGTGGTGGCCATTGAAGAATCCAGAGACATTGAGAAGTTGAAGATTGAGGAACTTCAAAGTTCCTTAGAGGCACATGAGATGAGATTAGTGGACAGAAATCCCATAAGAAATTATGAGCAAGCACTAAAGGCACATCATATCAGAAGTGAAGGAAAGAAGAAATTCAAGAAGTGGAAAGGAAAAAAAGAAAAAGGAAAATGGAAAAATGAAAGCATCATAAATGAACAAGATGAGAAATCTGAATTTCTGGAAAGAAAAGGTGGCCCTGATAGAAATATGAAGAAGAAAGATAAGAGAAATATTGAGTGTTTCAACTGCCACAAGATGGGGCATTACGCATATGAGTGTTACTCGAAAAAAGGTAAGCAAAAGAAGAAACAACAGACCAAAGAAGCATATCTAGCACAAGAGGATTCAGACTCAGAACCATTAACTTTGATGGTAATAACTAATGTTGAATTTTCCAATTCTTTACATAAATCTTGGTATTTAGATTCAGGGTGCTCGAATCATATGACCTGCAATAGAGAATGGCTAGTAAGTTTAGATGAATCAAAGAAAAGCAAAGTGAAATTTGCAGACGACAACACATTAAAGGTAGAAGAAATAGGAAATGTTGTCATAAAGAGGAAAGATGGCTCACATGCAATTATAGAAAATGTCTTACTAGTGCCACACTAGTACAAAAATCGCGTATAACGTTGAATATTTTGGGCTTTTAACGACGAAATCGTGAACGACGTCATATCAGGAGACATTAAATTGACGTCGAATTTAAAAAATTCGACGTTAAATTAACGTCGAATTTTCTCAATATACGATGTTAACGTTAATGTCAAATTTTGTCAATATTTGACGTTAATCAATTTTTTTTAATTAATTGTGATCCTTTTTTACAACTATACAAAACATGAAAAGCAAAAAAAAAACAAATTTAAATTTTTGGTATTTTATAAAGCATGAACTATGAACATGTAGTGTAGTATCAACAACAAACAATAATAACCAACAACAAACAAGTTCAATCAAACAACAACAAACAAGTTCAACCAAACAACAACAACAAACAAGTTCAACAAAAAAAACAACAAACAATTTCAACACATAAGTTCTTCAAAACGAAAACTAAAACTAACCTTCAAAATGTGGGTTCATCAGAATAAAGTTTCGTTACCAGTGAGAGAGAAATCAAAATGCGCCTATGAAGGAGAAGAGCACAAAAATAATCGGTTAAAACAAACAAAAATCATACATAAAGTAGTTAATTAACATGCATTTGTATCAAATGAAAGAAAGATTACATGTGATACTCGTCAAACTTCGTTCGAGAAAAGTTTGAGAAGAGAAGAGGGTATCGCGCGCTAAGATAAAGTGAATGAATATTCAATCTTCCGTTGAAATTTTTATTGAATTCACTAACCTTTTAAGTTGAATATAAAGGGCATTCGACGTTTTATATCCTTTTATGTCGAATTACAATTCTAAACAACGTTTAATAATTGCATTTATTTACAAAAATGTCACCGCTCATTTTTAACGTTGGCTATTCAGTGGTTGGACGTTTAATGTGTGACTTTATACGCTGTTTTTGTACTAGTGTCAGCTATGAAATGCAACCTACTGAGTCTTGGTCAACTGGTAGAAAAAGGCTTCACTACAGTCATGGGAAATCATGACAAAGTAGAGGTGTTCGACAAAAACAAGAGATTGATCTTAAAGAGCAAGATTTCTAAAAATCGAACTTTTCAAGTATGTATGGATGTAGTAGGAAGCTGGCGTTGTCTGTCTACTATGAAAGATGATGAAAACTGGAAATGGCACTTAAGATTTGGCCATTTGAATTTTAGGGACCTAAGGCAACTGAGTGAGAAAGGTTTGGTTACTGGAATTTTAGATATCAACATACCAGGAAACGTGTGTGAATCTTGCATTGTTGGAAAGCAAACTAGAAGATCGTTTCAAACAAGATTGGAGATGAGATCCAAAGAGTGTCTTGAGGTGGTACACTCTGACATATGTGGCCCCCTAGAAGTATCAACCTTGGCTGGAAATAGGTATTTTATTACCTTCGTTGATGAGTTTAGTAGAATGGTATGGGTGTATATAATAAAACTGAAAAGTGAAGCACTTGAGGTATTCAGAAGATTCAAAATCAGTGTAGAAAGGGAGAGTGGAAAATTGATTAAAGTGCTTAGAACTGACGGAGGAGGTGAATATACATCTTATGCATTTGAGAAGTTCTGCCAAGATAATGGCTTGGCAGAGACGAGGAACAAGACAATCATGAGTATGGCCAAGTGGCTTCTGAGAGAGAAAAATGTGCCACGAAATCTCTGGGGCGAAGCTGTATCAACAGCTGTTCATATATTGAACAGATGTCCCACCAAGAGACTCACATGCAAGGTGCCCTTGGAAGCTTGGACATGTATGAAACCTTCAGTAAAATATTTTAAAGTGTTTGGATCTTTGGCTTTTAGTCATATTGCAGATCAAAGAGGATCAAAACTTGAAAATAAAGGAGAGGCCATGGTATTCGTAGGATACCATCCAACCGGCGCGTATAAGCTCTACGATCCTATCAGAGATAAGATGGTATTAAGTAGGGACTGGAAGCACGAACAGACCAACCTAAAGAAGATATCAATGGTGCATGGAATCACCGATGAATCTATACGGGCTGGAATAGAATCTGTAGATGTTTCTAGGAGTAATGCAGATCTGGAAAATATAGTACATAAACCAAGAAGGCAATCCACTAGATCATCCAGGTTTTCAGATTATGAAGTTTACTCTGATGCAGGAGTAAATGATGAAGGAGATCTGGTTCACATTGCATTGATGGTTGGATCAGATCCGATAAATGTAGAAGAAGCTTTGACACAACTAGTTTGGAAGGAGGCTATGATTGAAGAGTTGAGATCAATTGAAAAGAACAAGACGTGGAGATTGGTTGATCTGCCACCTAGAAAGCATTGTATTGGAGTGAAGTGGGTATACAAAAGAAAACTAAACCTAGATTAGGCTATTTTAAAGCATAAAGCTAGGCTCGTGGTAAGAGGCTTCCTGCAGAAGTAAGGAATTGATTTCACAGAGGTCTTTGCACCCGTAGCACGGTTAGAAACAATTCGTTTAATGATTGTTATTGCTTATGCTAAAAAATGGTCATTATTCCAACTTGACGTAAAGTCCGTTTTCTTGCATGGACCCTTGGAGGAGGAAGTCTATGTTCAACAGCCCCTAGGATTTAACAATCAGGACAAGAAACAACAGGTGTACAGACTTCAGAAGGCTCTCTATGGTTTGAGGCAAGCTCCAAGAGCGTGGAACAGGAGGATTAATGCTTTCTTCATTGATCATGGGTTTGAACGATGTGTTGTAGAGCATGGCCTGTACGTGAAGGAGAATTATGATGGTAACATGATGATTATTTGCTTGTACGTTGATGATTTGTTGGTGACTGGTTCAAGCTTAAAGGAAATAGATGAATTCAAACAAATGATGGAAGTTGAGTTCGAGATGACTGATCTTGGGATGCTTAGTTACTTTTTAGGCATGGAATTTACTCACACAGCTTCAGGGTTATTGATGCATCAGCAAAAGTATGTGAAAAAATTATTAGAAAGATTCAAGATGGCGTTATGTAATGATGTTAGAAGTCCTCTTGAGGTGAATGCCAAATTGAAGATAAATGAAATTGAGGAAGGGGTTAATGAGACAACTTACAAACATATTATTGGGTCGTTACATTTTTATGCAATAGTAGGCCAGATTTAATGTTTAGTGTAGGTTTGCTGAGTCGTTTCATGGGAAATCCAAAGAAGAATCATATGCTGGCTGCCAAACGCATATTAAGATACATTAAAGGGACTACTAACTATGGAATTCTGTTTCCATATGGTTTGCGAGAGGATGAACTGAAGTTTATTGGCTATGCTGATTCTGACTATGGTGGAGATCATGTTGAGAGGAAAAACACATCAGGGAACATATTTTTTCTCAATAAAGCACCTATTTCGTGGAGTTCAAAGAAGCAATTTGTTGTTGCTTTATCAAGCTGTGAAGCAGAGTACATAGCTGGATGTTATGCAGCGTGTCAAGGAATTTGGTTAAGTGAGTTGTTAAAAGAGTTAAAAATACTCAAGGAGAATTCTATGCAGGTGAGAATGGATAACACGTCTGCCATAAACTTGGCAAGGAATCCCGTGAGCCACGGAAGGAGCAAACATATTGAGGTAAAATACCATTTTTTGAGGGACATGGTTAATAAAGGCAGAGTTGAACTGGCTTATTGTAAGACTGATTTACAACTAGTAGACCTTTTCACATAAGCACTCAAGCCGGATAGATTCGAGTTTCTTAGGAAGGAGATTGAAGTATTTCATAACAGCTTGAGTTAAGGTGGAGTGTTAAATATATAACTCAAGATGTTAACTGGTTTAGTTTCAGTTTTCAGTTAAAATAGTTACCTTTGTTGTAACACTGTACAAATACATTGCTTCTGTTACATACATTTTTAATAAGAAAAGAAAACACGTTACTGTTTTTCATTTTCTTTGCTGTTACAAATCCTTTGTACCTCTGTTGGTTTTTCTCTACATTCCTATCAGAAACAAATTAAATTATGAAATTTGAATATATTTATTCTTTATTCACTATAATGTGTAATCATAAGTGAATCTTTCTAATATAATCAATCATAATAAAACTTTAGTGTAAAGTTTAAAATCCCATCAAAATTATGATAAAATGTTTATGGTCTATTTGAACGGGTTTGTGGATAATTATTTCTTAAAACTAAATTTGATGAAATATTTTCGAATTTTATTATTTTAAGCACGATTGAAACAATAGAGATTAGTAAGGTCCAATAATATCATGAGAGTTATTAAAAGATTTATTTTATTTAAAAGATTATGATGAGAGATTTAAAAGAGTTATCTTATTTATAAGATTTCTAAAAGATAAAAGACTTATTAATTTAAAAGATTTATTCTTAGAGATAAAATGATTTAGTAATTATTTAATTTAAAATATATATTTCATTTGAAAGATTTTTTATGAGATAAGATTTAGTGAATAATTATTCAATTAAAAAAATATCAAAGAAATTCCCTAAGAGATAGAGTGATTATGTATAAACTGAATTAGATCCCATTTAATACAAGAATATATTCCAAGTTGTTTTCTTTGTTATTTTTCTATTGATATAGGAATATATTTCCACGAATATAGGAATATCTAAATCTTGTGAGAGTTTTACTATAAAAGGATAATTGGGGTAGTGGTGAAGTATTACAGTGAAGTAGCTTAAGATAGTTTCGAATATAAATCAAAAAAGTATAAAGAGATATTTACTTGAAATGTTAGAGTTGGAAAGGAAACCTGACTTAAAAGAGGATTTTTGAAGAAAAAGGTGTAAAGTTGTTTTGAGACATTGAGATTCTAAGTAGAGGGAACTAGCTTTATTTCTTGTTTGTCCTTTGTGTTTGTGTAGATATGTTAAGTTTTGTTACCGGTGGTTGTAAGGGTAACTATCTTTCTTATTATTTGTGCTTATGCTTATATAGATATGACAATTTGTGTTAATAGTAGTTGTAAGGGGGCTAACATTCTTGCATTTTGTTTTCTTGTTTTCTTTGTCTAGAGATGACTTGTGACTCACTTCTCTTTTCTAGAAATCTAACTTGATGAACTTCCATGTATTTTACTTTTATCAAAGGAAATGATTCTTGGAAAAATTTTAATTTTTTATAAGTTCATGGACGATTGGAATAACTTGTTTTATATGTAAGTGATGGTATGCCTATATGATTAATGTGTTTTGTGTCTCAACAAAGGTGTGCTCTATTTGAGTAGTCCTATGTGTGCAGTGCTACTTTGTGGACCTATAAGTCTCTATATGAGAATAGGTGGACCTTGTATGTCTATATGTGAGCATGAGTGGACTCTATCAATCTCTGTATGAGTAGGAGTGGATTCCATTAGTCTTTGTGTGAGAAAGAGTGGAATCTTTAAGTCTCTATGTGAATATGGGTAGACTTTGTAAGTCCCTATGTGAGCATGAATCGAATCTGTAAATCTTTGTGTGAGTATGAGTTGGTAAGCTTGTGTGGGTTGAGATATATGATAAACTTTGTGAAGCAAGTGGTTCAGAGCTCTATGTGAGCAAACATAGATAGTTTTAAATGAACAAAAGGCTTAAAGCTTTGTATGAGAGTAATAATTGATAGTTTCACATGAGCATGGTATTTGGTAGCATTGTGTGAGCTAGCAGCTCAGTGTGAAGTGGTGGAGGTTTTTAGTGAACCCGTGACTCTGTGTGAGTCTCAGACCTTGTGCTGTGATAATGTGTGATCACGTGTATGCGTTACAGTGTCATAAGTTGTGAGAATAAAGAATATGTTGTATTTTTAAACTATGGGTTATATGTTTTTATGTTAGCTCACCTTCAATTTGTTGTGTTTGTGTTTGACTGAAATGATCATGACTTATGAGGGAAGCATATGGTAGTACAAGTGTTGAGAATGATGCATAATAGGGATTAGAGTTTTAGATAGTTTTCAGAAGTAGTTTTTTTAATTACTTTTAATATTTTTACAAAATAATTTCCTTTTGTTGTAAAGATTTTTTTCAGGTGACAATTTTATATTTTGAATAGTGGGATGTGCATTTCTTTTCATCTAGTGAATGAATTCATTTTTTATTTATAATTAAATAATGGTATAATAGTTACAAGTGTTATGTGTGTTATAAAAACGTTACATGATGAATTTAAGTATCACTTTAGTAGTAGTGTTACATTGGACTTTTATTGTGTCTTTGATGGTCAAATTTGTTTCTCAAAGACACAAACTTTGAGCTTTGTTTAGTTGATCCAAAGAAACCACTTGAGTCATAGAGTTTTAATATGTAATAGAGATTCACGTTGATAATTTTATGTAGATTTTGTGCAAGGATTCAAGGGATTCAACCGGTTTCCATTCGTAGAGTATTCAATTGATAAACAACATTTTTTAGTGTCAAAAAGCCCCATAAATCTTGCATAGAATAATATCCTTAATGACAACATTATTTTGTAGAAACCCAAACTCAACAGACGATCCAATGGGCACTCAATGTGTAACATCCCAAAATATAGTGATAACCATAATCAGAATTAATTACATTAATCATTAAAACAGTGCAGTCTTTACAAAAAGATACGAAGTTCAAATCGTTGAACGGCTTAAAATACAAAATGTAATGTAGCCGGCGGTATCCAAATTATGAGACTAAACAAAATACTAAAGGCTACCACATGTCGAGCACTCTAGGGCTCGACCTTAACCCCTACTTCAACCGGATTAACATCTTCCGAAATTTCTTCTGCCAGCGCCTCTTCCAGCAGCTCACTTCCATCTGCTCCCATCCACACGGATGATCATCGCAAGGACAAGACGGACGTACAAAGACAATCGACAACACAAAGAAGAGAACACAGGGTAAGCTTATTGAATTTAATTCAAGTAAAATCATTCATTTCATAGTACATCAACATATCAAATATTTCACAACATATAATTAAATCAATCCCTTAACTCAAATCAATTCCTGATACTAGACTGACCGTCCGGACTGTATGAATCTGTGTAGCTACAGGCGTCCTTGCACCCGAGTGGTGTAGTAACTGTATTACACTCGACAGCTGCCACTCGAGGTTAGTCCGTTTCTTACGTCGCCCATGTTAACTTATGGACTAAGGACCTCCTGCCATTCCCACACATGAATTACTCTCCTCTACGTGAAGATGAGTATCACGGAATATCAGGATGGACCAAGCCAGCATTAGCATGCCCACAGTCATACTTTACAAAATTCCATATTCAACCATGAGTCGTTCCTCCCTGGAACGCTCGTCCAAAATCCACAACCGTTTATTCATCTCATATAATGTTCATCATTCATAATCTTTCACTTTTATTTTCATTTTTGTCTTTCAGTCCAAGTACATAAAATCACAAACGTTCAGCCCTCTTTATAACGAGGACAACCGTGAGGAACGAGACCGAAGAATTTACCCCGTTCCAAAACAGAATAGGACCGACTACCAGATAGATGGACGACCTGTATTAACACGGGTGCTCGACACTGTCGGTCGACCCAAATGGACGACCTGTATTAAGAAGGTTGCTCGACACAGATGGACAATCCTGTTAAGAAGGGTACTCGACACGGTCGGTCGACCCAGATGGACGACCTGTATTAAGAAGGGTGCTCGACACTGTCGGTCGACACAGATGAATGATCTGTATTAAGAAGGGTGCTCGACACTGTCGTCGACACAGATGGATGATCTGTATTATCAAGGGTGCTCGACACTGTCGGTCGACACAGATGAATGATCTGTATTACGAAGGGTGCTCGACACTGTCGTCGACACAGATGGATGATCTGTATTATCAAGGGTGCTCGACACTGTTGGTCGACACAGATGAAGGATCTGTATTACAAGGATGCTCGACACTGTCGATCGACACAGATGGATGATCTGTATTATCAAGGGTGCTCGACACTGTTGGTCGACACAGATGAAGGATCTGTATTACAAGGATGCTCGACACTGTCGATCGACACAGATGGATGATCTGTATTACAAAGATTTTTCAAGAAAAGAGTAAGAGCGCTTGGTGTAAGACCGAGCACTACCCAATACGATTACTATGTGTAAGATCGACACTGCTCATTATGAGCTCTAAGTAAAAGACCTACATAACTCATGCTCGACCAGAATCCTTCCCAAATGAAAGTATTCCAATTCAAAGAAGTTTACTGGAACACCAAACGGTCGAGAACCGTTTAATGTCGGACACACGTTATCATA